GACTTTCCTTTCCTAGGTCTCAGTTTCTATGAAATAAAGGGTCTATGGTCAGTTCTAACATCTTATGACAATACAAATCCTAAAACCATGCAAAGAGCTTGGGAGACTGAATAGGCTGATAGGAGAGGTACTTTGCCAGGTTTCTAGAGGCCCTCAAATCCCAAGAGATGGCTGAAGATGTTTTCCTCACAGTTTAGGTATTCCTGAAACCTGGGACTGACTTATACCTAATATTCCACCCTAGATAAACTGAAAGCCAAGTTGATTTGTTTGTTCATTTTTCTCTTGGCAGCTCACCTGCGTGATCTAGTCTCGGGAAGGGACAGACTGTGGAAAGTGTAGCTACGGGACACTAAAGGAATAAAAATTAACACAACCTTTTCTCCATCAGGCCTTCCTGCCAAGGAGGGATAGACCCAAAGTTTGTGGTTCTGAAAGGAGGAGCAAAGAGGCTACACATATCCTTACATGGTGAGTTTGGGTAAGGACATCAGCCTGGTCCAAGGGCATCCTGATTTGGTCAGGAGAGTCAGCGAGCTGATGAAGGGTCAAGTTGGTTCTGTATGACCTGCCTCTGAGTTCGAAATTGGCAGTCAGCAATATTAGGCATTTTGATTTGTTATTGTGCTTAGTAGTGGGGATTGAGCCCAAGGCTTCAAACATGCTAGGCAAATGTTCTGTCACTGAACTATATCCTACCCTTTAAGTTGCTCAGACCGGCTTTGAACTTGCAGGCCCCCTCCTTCAGCCTCCAAGTAATTGAGACTACAGGTGCGTGCTACCATTTTGTTCCACTTTATTGAGGTCTTTGAGTCACTGTTTATCAGTTTCCTTGAGTAGAGGGGACAGAGCTCCTGCCCTGGAGAGTTCTTGACTTAAAATAGGAGATAGACCAGTTCAGAACAAAGGAAAAGAGTTACAGAGCAAGGGATTTTAAAGATTATTTACAACCAGGATTCTAGGCCCAAACCTCCATTCTGCAGTTGGGAAAACTGATGTGCAAACTGACCCTGCCAGTAAGTGGCAGAGGTTGGATGAGAACCCAGGTTTTCAGGTGCTGTTTAGCTGCTCATTCCACTAATAATAGTAGTGTTGCATCTGAGCTGTATATTACACTAAACACAAGGTCCTCAAGCTAGGGGGGCCCTTCTTCTCCAACTTCATTTTAGCTGCCCTTTCCTAGCCAATCTTGGTGGAGAATCCAGTAAGGGAAGCCGGTGAGTTTTGGAAGTAACCTCCCTCTATCTCTTTCTTATAGATCCTCCCCTCCAGACCTACTCTTGATCTTCAGGTTTACTCTCTTCCCCATACTCTGCCTCTGCTGTTTCCCTCATGTTAACAGGTTCTCACTAACTGTACTTGACCCAAACTTCCCAGCTTCTCACTAGGGCCTAGGGCAAAAGAGATGAACTGAGTATCTTGGTAAGATTATTTCAGGTTTCTTTCAGGCTTTCTGGAGAAGAGTGAAATTCTACCATTGGTTCTTTCAGTTTCCTATTGCTATGTAAGCTACTCTTTCTGAGTATTTTAAGGGACCAAGCTGAGGTAGAGAAAGGCATGTAGAAGGAGCAGTTCAAATAATTCTCTAAATTATCCACTCCATTGTTTCAAAAATATTCTAATATATATGCTAATTTGTCTCATTTACACTGCTAGTTTCCCTTAGTTCATTGAAAAGAAGGTTTTATGCTATAAAATTGTTTTGCTTTTGTTTGTTTTTCCTGTATTTTAGGGAAGGGTCTACAGGGTGTTAAGGATCTCACTACTAGATTGTACTCATAGTGATCTGACTGTTTACAGTCTCTCAACTGCTCAGCCACCATGCCTAATCTCAACTACATGCCTGGGGATCAAACCCCAGCCCCTATGCGCCTGCTTGCAGGCACTTTAATCCACTGAGCTATTAGGCCAGCCATTAAATCTGTTTCTTTAAAAGAGAATCTTTTTTGTCTATGTCTTATACTGAGCACTTTAAAGATAATGATATACAGTGTATTGATTATCAGTACTTTCCTACTATTTTGGTATGAAATTTTGGGTTTTTTTTAAAAGCAGGTAAAAAATGTCATATGAAACAAGCAGGGGATCCAAACACAACATTCAATGTGTAATGCTGCTATCGTCCCCATGGGGATCTTGTCACTGCTGTGGGTTAGAAAACGGTTGGGGGGAGCTGACAGAGTGAAATTTAATAACAAATTGGGAGGAGACAGAAGCGGAATCAGAGCTGGAAGGGATGCTAGGGGTCGCATTGTCAGTGCCTCTTTCTGTTTGAAGAAATCACATTTAAAGTCTCACAGCTCAATATAGGCAAAGCTGAAATCAAAACCAGGCATCCTGACTCTCTTTCCACACATCTAAGTTCCCTGTTGAGTGTAGGGAAGAGTCTAAGCTCTTCTGGTTATCATTCACTCCTTTAACGTGGCCTGATGCTATCCCAGTCACTGTAGTTTCCTAGTGTTCTGTGACCATGATACTGAGCTACTCTTGGCCGTTTTTCAAACATTCCTTGCCCCTGTATATCTCTTGCCTCTGTTCATGCTGTTTTCTTGGGCAGTAATTCCTTTTGCCTTTTCATCTGTTCAGCAAACTTCTACTCATCCTAGCTCCGCTGTCAACTACTCAGATGCTTTCCTGAGTACCCCTTTCTGTACTCCCTTGCTAATGGGGCTCAATCTCTTCTGTTCCCTATATGCTTTACCTAAAGCCCTGTTAGAATACTATGCTGTGATGAAGCTGTGTGTGCGCGTGCGTGCTCGCATGTGTGTGTACGTGTTGTGAAGTGAGGACAAGGACCTGTGCCTCATTTGTTTATTCTCCAAGCCTGGAAAACATGAGGCCTTAGGAAAAACAGGAGTTCCCTTAGCAGGCACTCAGGAATAAATGAAACCAATTTTTTCCTATAAAATCATCCATACTGGAGTTGCAAATGCATACACATACATTCACAAAAAGTTTACAGTGCTTAAAAACAAATGAAAGAAATGAAGAAAAGCAACTTCAAGGGCAGGCCAAAACGGACTCCACTTAGTCTGGGAAAGAAAAGAAGCTGCTTCAATCAGGTGGGGTGAGTCAGGAGTGGAGGCCTTCTTCCTTCAGAAGCTCAGACACTCCCTCCACCTGAACTTCACTTAATCCAAAAGGCAAACATTCCTGGCCCCCAAACACCCCAGCAATGGCTTTGCAACCCTCCTCCCTGTGTACTACCTCAGGGCGTGGCCGCTCACACCCACACAGTTTGCGCACACACAGTCTAAGTGCCAGTCTTGCCTGTGATCTTGCCTTGCAAGGGTTCCTTTCATGATTCCAATCTTGGCTGTATGTCTGGCTGTGTGACCTTGCATTTATTTGCTTCAAACCACACCTATAAGATGGGGATAATTATCCCTGCTTTACTTACCTCACGAGAACTGGAGAAGACAATAGATGGGAAAGTGTCATAGAAACAATAAACATAAAATTACTGGGCAACCTGGTCACACTGTTTCCTTTTCTCTCTCTATATCTCCCTCTGCCCCATACTTCCAAGAATAGCTATCCATATCCCTCTTCCCACCCCAGCTCTCCTACCTCCAGAAGAAGCTAGGGGTTCTTACTACTTTTCTTGATTCTCAGAAACACCACTTTAAGAATCGTTCCTTGTTTCCTACCCTTACTGATCATTCCTGAGATCCCTTAATCCTCAGAGCTACTATTTGGAGTATTAGGAGTCAAGAGACTTGGATTTCTGCCCATTTTGCCAATATGTTTAGCCATCATTTTGTAAAGTTTGTTCTCCATTCTGGGCTCCACTTTCCTCATCAATGATAGGTTTTCTTGTCCTGCTTCCTCTTAAAAGGTATTGTGAGCACCCGCACATTAGTTCACAGTTGGAACTATGCTCTTTCTTGGTACTGGACATCGAATTCAGGACCTTGCGCTTGCCAGGTAGGCTCTGTGCCACTGTGCCACTGAGCTATACCCCCAGCCCTGGAAGTATGCTTTCAGAAGAGAAAAGTGAGAGGCATTTGAAGGTTGTTTGTTTCCACTGCAAAAAGTTAAGAAAATCTGAAGGTGGTTTCCATGCTTCTAACATTGATCGTTTTCTTTAGAACTGACAAAGTGGCTGGATGCCAGGAGATAAGGAGGAGTTTCTCCATGTACAATATCCCTTTGTAGGGGAAGTAGCTCTGAGATAGGAGTGAAGAAATGTGGGTTCTAATTCTCTTTGATCCCTGGTGTGAGGCTAGGTAAATCATCTACCCCCAGGGCCTTTGTTTTCTGATATGCAAACTGTAGGGAGTTAGGAGGGAAACTAAGAGAACTCCAGGTGGGCTGAACTAATCTACTTTCCAGATAAGTCTCCCTTTCTCCTCTAGTGGAATGGGTCGATGGGTAACAGAAGCTGGGCATCCATTGTACGGGTGGTGACCCAGGAAAGGAAAACACGAGTCTGAGAGAGCAGATGCCTTGCACAAATTTACACAGCCTCCAGACTAGCGCCCAAGTCTCCTGCCTCGCAAGCAAGAGCTATACTACTGTTAGCAGATGTCTCCATCCTTTCCCTGGCTCTGTGTCGGACAAGGTGAGAGTCCCAACGGAACCTGTCAACTAACTCCACGAGGCTGGCAACTCTGGCCGAGCTAGAAGACTGCTCGCGTCCCGGGCTGTTCTCTGCGCCCCAGCCACGCGCGGACTAGCAGGTGTCCGCGTGCATATTTATACAGGCGCAAAAGTGCTCCAGGTCGCCCTGTGAGGCCCCAGGAAAGCCAGTGCAACCCTTTCTCCCTGCAGCTGCTTCAGGCATAGCCTACCAGAAGCCCAGCTCCTATCGCCCAGGTGCTGCTCTGGGATCCCTGCTCCTCTCTCAGGGGAGGATCCACTCAGTACAATATTTAAACTGCTCCCCTTTTTCGGTCTGCACTTTTCCAGAAAGCTTTGGTCCTTGGGAGAGAGGGAAGAAGATGCTTTCCCCATTTTTACCCCTCGCTGCAGCTCAGCTTCCTGCCAGAGCGCCTTACCTGCCTCTCTGCAAGTCTCCCGAGGGCGCCCGTTTGCTCGCGGGACGCTGCTCCCTCTGCTGGAAGGTGGCCCCGGCACTGCGCCTCTCTGCCCGCCTTTCTGTCCTCTGCCCGCCCCAGTGAACTCCGCGGGCCGCTTTGCTGCTCTGCGCTCCCACCGGCGCCAGCTCCCTTTTCCCTTCCCCAGAGCGTCTCCTCCCCCAGCTCCGCCCTTCTCAGCATACCCTCTTCTCTCCCGGCTAGCTTCAGGCGCCTCCGCCCCACTCCTCAGCCTCACCCGGCTGTAGGCTCCAACCTTTCCGTCCCCTGCACTGCCCGCCGCAATGCCTGCTTCCTGGACCTTAGACCGAATGCCACTCTTGGGCTAGCTCCCGCCAGAGCAGCTTCAGCTGGTCAGAAGGCGAAGCTGAGCGCTGGGTGCTAGTGGAAACAGGCTTTGGCCACATGCGGCTGTGTGGTTGTGGGTGAGCCACTGCTCCTCCCTTGGTCTTGGCTTCCTCGCTGTAAAATGAGCACCATTCTTGCATGCATGCTTCATGGGCTTATTGTTTTGGTCAGATGAGTTCTTTGTCTCCAAAATATTAAAACTGGAAGGTTGCCGGGCATGGTGGTGAACACTTGTAATCCCAGCACAGGAAGGAGGCTGAGGCAGAAGGGTCCTCAGGAGTCGAGGCCAGCCAGGGCAAAGAAGTGAGCTCAAGGCCAGCCTGAACTGCATAATGAAACGTTGTCTCAGAGGGGGAGAGAGAGAGAGAGAGAGAGAGAGAGAGAGAGAGAGAGAGAGAGAGAGAGAGATAAAATATAAAACTGGAGGGTCACTGGAGAAAATATCTAACACAAACCTTCTTTTGCAGACAGGTTGTAAATGTTCAAATTAGGGAAGAGCCTTGCCCAGTTTACCTAGCAAGTCAGGGGCAGAGCTCAGATTCAGAAGCCACTGCACCCCTTTCTTCTTGGCCCAGCAGGTGTCTCACTAACCCCAGGAGTCCCACAGACACCCATCCAACTTGTATCCAGCCATTTTAACTGCTGTCTGTCAAAGAACACTTTTTCACTCACAAGGTTCTCACTCAAACCCTTGCCTCCTTGATTGGGGCTGCAGGCTCCAGAGAAAAGAAGTAGCCAGGGACAGCTGAGAAATGAAGACCAGGAAGCCAGTGGCAGAGGAATAGACAGAAACAGAAACAGCCTCTTGGGGTCTCTGTGAGGAATCTTTATCCAAGCCCACTTTACCAGCCTAGGGCCTTGCAATAATGAATAAATCCAGGCCAGCCCGCTCATTCACTGCCAATGAAGATCTGTTGCAGGCTGTCTGAGATACATGCCCTCAATCACAGAAGTTCAGAATGTAGTCTGCAAGAATAGTTATCATTTTACAAAGACCTACCAAAGTGCATGCATTCTGTAGAAGAGTGTCAATCTCCATCAAAACACATTACTTCTATGTTGTTCCTGTGATCACAAGTTTCGTTTTAATTCTTCCTCCGTCTCAGTCTGCAACATTCACAGACATCATCCCGACCATATGGCCGTGCGGTCTCCATTTTTAGTCTGCCTAAGAATCATTTAAGAACCTTGTTTAATGAAGTAGATGGTTCGGCTTCACTCCAGAGGTTCTGATTCTGCAGTTCTGGAGTGGAGCCCAGAAATCAGCATTTTTAAATAAGATTTCTGAGGACTCTTGATATAAATGGTACTTGAGAGATCAGCCTTGAGGAAATAGCTCTGGCCTAGTTAAAGTTCCCTCCCAGATCCTACCTGGCCTTGCATTTACTCCACAGGACTATTCATTACTGTTATTTGGTCTTTTTTAAAAATTACAGTTATTGAAAGTAACTATTTGCCCATCTCAGAAGATTATGGGATTCTTTGAAGACAAGGATTGTCTCGTTGTAATAAAATGTTAGATTAGTAATTGTAAGCCTTCTTAGAGTTGTATACTCATTTTGTGACAGAACCTAAGTTGAAAGGAGTCTTATAGTTTTGTAGTTGAAGCCCTTGCCTACCGAATTCTGTGCATCTCATGTTTCACGCAAAGCTACCCATTTTGCTGGCCTGCTTCTAGTGACTGGAAGCTCATTGCCTCCAAGACAGCCCAGCAGATCTGATTTTTAGGATGGTCTCATATTTTAACAAAAATGTCCTTTGACTTTTCTACCCTTTGGTCTTTGTACCCCTCAGACCAAGCATAATTCTAACTTTTTAAATCTTTTTTCAGCCCTTCAGGACTTGGGGTCTGTCCTCTACTACCCATTCTCTGGAGAGAGGATAGGCAGGAGCCTTGTTAGGTAAGACGGCTAGTCAACAGCTGTTGGAAAATGGCCTGAAATGCCTCATATTCCTTAACTGTGCTTTGCAGACTTGCTCTGAGACTTAAATAAAGTATGGTATATGACAGGCCCAGAGGTAGGCCTAACACCAGGCTTGTGCTTAAAAATGGCTTCTTCTATTGTTATTGATTAAGAACTGTAAAGACAGTTCCTATCCTGGGGAAGCCCAGGAGAGGGATCTTTAAAGAACTCCTTAATTCAAAGACACAAGACCTTGACTTTGGGGTAAGGAAAGCAAAGGAGTGGGGTGGGATTGAGGTTAAGATGAGCGAATTGAAGGCCTGAGAGGAAGATAACTAGAGGTGTACTTCCGTGGAATCTGCTTAATACCACCATCTTGAAGAGGTTTTTCTTGACCACTCTGTTCTCAAATTCTAATTCCCCTGTTCTCCCATTCTCTCAAACCTCTTTTCCTACCTTGTTTTTCAATAACACCTAACCTGCCAAGCATTGTGCTTTGCGCCTATAATCTTAGCAGTCAGGAAGCTGATGCAGGAGGATTGCCATGAGTTCCAGGCCAGCTTGGCCTACAAAGTGAGTTCAAGGCCAGCCTAGAACACATCATAAGCCTGTTTAAAAAAAAAAAAAATCAATAACACCTAACCAGATGACAGATAGTTCTGATATATTTCACTT